AAAAAAAAAAAAAAAAGAAAGAAAGCGAGAGGTAGTAGTCGGGTCGATTTCGGGGGATTAGAATTCGTTTGGCCGACGCGAAACGAGCGCGGCTTGACGTCACCGTCAGCGCAAAGCTGAAGCGAGGGAAAGAAAGCCGCGGCGAAGCGGAACTGTCTGCGAGATGCAGATGTACACGCGTGGAATTAAAATATACCGTGCCTGAGCGCGTTAGCTAGCTCTCGCTCGGCTGTGTATAATGCGTGGCCTCATCTTTATTCAACGAATCCACCGCGAGACACAGTGTACCCATCGTGAAATTGGATGAAGTTTCGTTACTGACACCTCTCGCCGACCATTTGTCTTAGTTTCTGTCCCATCGTGAAAGCGTAACACCGACCGTTCGGCGTCAAACGTAACTCGATTATTCTTAATTAAAAGCGGAGGAAGGATGGACGAAGATCGCGAAGGAACTCGAAGATCACTCTCCTGTGTTCTAACAATATTATTTCAAATTATTTCTTTCGTTTCGTTTCGAAGCAGTGTTATTCGAATTTCGTGTCAAAAAATTCGTCCCACGTGTTTGACGAAATTGTCTTTTCTCATCCGCGCTGCAAAGCTGTATATGTATGAGGATTATAAAATGAACAAGAATAAACGACGACGAATAAACTTCGTAATAAACTTCGTTACGCAGAAAGGTTCAAGTAAAATTTCTCCGCGCACATTTGGGGTGCACATTTCTTACTCATATATATATATATTCGCTCGGCTGAGAAAAGAAATCAGGAAATACCATCGCGTGGTGGTTCTAACTCTAACGCAAGTATTGCCGCGTTATCGCCAGGGTGTGCAGGCCTTCCCGACCAACGTGACCCTGCAACGATTCCTGGAATTGCACATCGAGATCACCGGGGAGCTACCGGACCCGACCAGCGGTCAGACGATGGAACGCTGCGGCGTCTGTTCGGAGAAGAGCTACTGCTCCCTGTGCGTCCACTGCGAGAAAAAGTGCTGCCCCGAGTGCAAGGACGCTCACATGGACATCCTCAGGCGTGAGATCACGCGCATCAATTCCCAGGTAAACCATGACAGCCTTACGTTCGCGCTGAGATCCTTCCCTGAGAATATATGTAGTATATGTGCTAGCGACGATAAAAAGAACAGACGCTTGCCCGACGTTCTCTCTAGTGAACATCTATTTTTGGCCAGCAGAATCGACGAGCAAGTCTCTCTCTCTCTCTCTCTCTCTCTCTTTACTCTCGAATGAGGAAAAAGGAAAGCAAAGTCCAACGTAGAAATATCGACTCGCCAAGGCGAGAGAAATAATTTCACGCCCGGACGGTGTCCGACCCCTTAGCTTCGCCCCTCGATTTCTACTAATTTCCTGATTCCACTTGCCTGACGATTAAAAAGCTCCCGAGGATTAATGGGAATCGGAATCCGGGACTGGAATGACCCGTCAAAATGAACATTGAAGAACGAGCAAGAAAGTAGATTCGTTATCGATTCGTTCTTTGTCTGTGAAAGTTTCCAAATAGTTTTTCCTATCCGTCTTGTCTTTTATTCTCGTCCCCTTGCTTCCTTCACTCTGTATTCCTCGTCATTCCTTGCATTCTGTTTTTCTTTCTATGATTCTCTATCTCCCTTCCTCACAATCTTTCTCTTCTTCCCTTTCTTTTTGTCTTCCTTTCCTCAGACTTTTTTCCTTACATCCCCTCCCTTCCATATAATCGTTTCGTTCGCGATATTTATTTTCGCGAAGACAGAAAGAAGAGTAGCTCTGTGCACTTGAGAATTGAAAAGACCGACGTTTTCGCAGCTCGAAAATTGCAAATTCTAATACGCAGATTCTGAAATCCCAGCGAACGAGATACGACGAAAATTTGAAAGTTACAGCGACTAGGCGTGCGTGAAATAGTGACGCAATTATGGCGTATAGAGTGGGAAAGTTGACGGCGTACCTGAGCGGGTGGTAACACGTTTTCCACGAATTCGCCGGCGACGTTGCCCGCAGGATGATAAATGCAAACGAGATAGAATTTACCGCTGTCATCGTTCGCCAATCCGAGACCTATCGATTCGGTTTTCTTCCAAATTAGCTGAGTGAAGTCGTGCACGGCATCCAAATCTTTCGCCTCGTCCTCTCCGTACTTGAAGTAGCTGCCCTCTCCGTACCTGAGAACCAATCACTCACACCTATACTTTCGTGCAACAAATGCAGGCTGATATTAATGATCTGAAAGATTGAGTAGAAGAATTCAAACCTTCAGGATGAATAATATTTTGCTATAGCTAGTCTACTAACTGTATCATCTTCCAACCAAATTAAAAATTAATCACAATATTAACCACAGTAAATTTCCTCGGACGAAAGTCTAAAGTTAAATTCTAAAATCCTTTTCAGCGTGCGTGAATTGTAATCATTATTATTATTATTATATAACAGACAAGAGATTACTACAATGTCAAAGTTAATTCCAAGGCAGAAATTTTTTAATGCAAACCAATATTCCAACGGATCCTGCGGCTTGATTTTGTAAGGAATGTCCCTCCAGAAGCTGCGGTATATATTTTCGCCGTAGTCGGGATCCGATCTATACTGAAGAATGGCCTTCCTCGCTAATTCGTCCGCCCATTCCTGCGCCAGCTGGTTCAACTAGAAAAAGAATTTTCCACTCGTTAACGCCGAGTCCCAGCCCGTTCGCCTTGAATTCTATTCCATCGTTCTTAGATTTCAACGTCATTGGAATTTACTGCGGATCGGATCGCCGTGTTGCCGCGTTAATAAAAATGTACAGAGACGGCCCGTTGAATAATGGCCCCGTTCAATATTTCACGGAACCCTCGTGGAGCAAACGAACAGGCCGCGGGATGGATATTTCTCGGTGAAATAAGGGGAAACCCTTGTATACCTTGTCGTCGATTTTTAATGGCGGGGAACGATGAATAGCTCGATATTCATTGTGCAGCGTCAGGAAATCAGCCACGAAATTCGGCGGGAAATTTCTGGAAGAGAAGAGAGGAGAGAGAGAGAGAGAGATTCATCTCTCTTTGCGATACGTAATGTAATAGGCGTTTCAACCGGATTCGTTGCTCACTCCATTTTTAATTAAATGGCTTTCAAGAGCAACCGGGGAACGTGTTGATCGATAATCGAGACCGGCTGTTCGAAAATACGGCAAAATACGCTGGCTGGCATGTCTCGCAGGTTTTCGTAATAGAAACTTCGATTGGCTGAATTACACGATTACATGTTGAAAGCTGAGGACGAGTTTAGGTTACACGAGCCGAAACGTCAAACGAACAATCGCGAAACGAAACGATTCCCACGTTCGTACATAGGTATGCGGCAACACCTACGCCCTCGACCAACGATATTAGCAAAATTACCGAATTACGAATTATAGATTCTGTATGGATTGATAATAATAATAGAAAACGAAATGATCACGCAAAATGAACTTGCGAATACCGAAATTTGGAATTTTTGTTGGATAATTCATAGATGTGTAAGGTGTTTGAGATATTCCACATTCGTGATAACGAAAATTGTATATCTTTTTGTGATTTAAAAAGTGATCTCTGTCTGAAGGGAGAGCCGATTCTCTCACCCTTCTCATCGCAATGCGACCGATCTCGCGTTTTCCTCAGACGCGGAACTCGCATCGCGTTTGTTTTGAATACATTAGGAGCGGACAAATATACCGACCAGCTATTTTTGGTTCGCGCATACATAGCGCGTGGCTGCACGTACGCGGTTATGTTGACCTGAATTCACGATATTCGTCGCGATGGAATCGACTCGCATGATATACGCAACTCGATTCCAATATTTCCGGGTCTATTTAAGATTTCAAGCCCGACCGACATAATTGGACCGTGGGACCGCAATGAAGAAGGATTTTCGGCGTTGTTCATCAGAACGGCCATTGTCTCGCGGAACAATGATGTAATTCGCGATGTCGTGTCGCGAGCGTGGAATTAAGCAAAACTTATTGGGCCTTCGAAAGTCGCTATCTAATTCGAAATCTCCATAAATTTGCCGCACTGACTACGTGCCTCGTGTGAACTGAACTTCACGATTCACTGTTTCGGATTTTAGCTGAACTTCCTCGTAAATATTCTCGGAATAGAAACAATCTCGAGAATAGAGAGTAGAATCAATAGAATCAGGCTTGGTAACAAACCAAATCAAACACAGAGGTACAAATTTGCATGTGTATTATGAAATATTCTAAACTCAAATTTACAATGCCACGCCAAGTGCAGAATATCCCAGCCTCAAACGCAATTATTCTAAATATCTATTCGAAACGTGCAATATTCCAAATGTATAATATGCGTAACCTGTCCCAATTGCTGCCGCAATTGTCCCATTGGACAAAATGCTCTACATATTCAAGGCTATTCCAACGTAAACGCGTAGCCCGCCGTAATGTGGATCGATCGAGAAACAGAGATTCGATAGAAAGAAAAAGAAAGAAAAAAAATCTTGTTTGCAGATACGGAGGGGGTTGCACAGGTTGCAGGACGCGCTCGCTCTGGTGGAGAAAAACACATTGGGACTGCAAACAAACTGCGCCTCGGTGGCGGAAGAGGTGGACGAGATTTATCGGAGGCTAAGCAAGGCTTTGAAAGACCGTACGGAACATCTGCGTAACGAGGTCGATCGATACCTGAGCACCGAGCTCAGAGGCTTGATTCAGCTCAAAGAGAATCTCGAATTGGAAATTGCGAATATCCAGAGCAACTGCGATCTGGCGGAGGCTCACATCAATGAGAACGTGCCGTGGGACGATTCCGAGCTCCTCGACACGAAAGAACTGTTCCTGCGTACGGTGGAATTCATCAGGTTCGTTCTTATTGATCTTATTACCCAATCTCCTCCTCTCCTTCCTTCCCTCGGAATTCCTCAAACTCTTCAGAGACCGACACGACTCGCCTCTTAACACGTTCCGTGCCATGTGTACCACCGGTGGTACACGTTAAACTT